TTAATGAAGATCTGGTGATGATTGATGGGATGGGAGGAGGGGAGTGTGTGGATGGTATTAGCATTTAGAAGGGGAATCCCCCTCCATTAGGACGTGAGGTAGCAAGTCCTTTTCCGGGGTTACTTCCCTTCTTCTTTTAATGCCACTAGGACCAGCTTGAGAGTCACTGGACCTCTGTTGCACAACATATCTGTCCATAGAGGCCTGTCCCTCTCGTTCCTTTATGACTTTCCTAAAGTGGTTCACAACATTGTCAGTGTAATAGTCACCAGCACGGCTTGCAATAGCTGTCTGAGGGTGATTTTCATCAAAAAAGCTTTGCACTTCAAGCCACTTTGCGCAGATTTCCTTAATCTTTGAAGTAGGCAACTTCTTCAATTTCTCTATCCCCTCCTCCGAAGCAGTTTCCTCAGGTCTGGCCTCTTTCTGTTGAAGATGATCTAGCAGCTCATCAGTGGTTAGTTCTTCATTGTCCTCCTCCACCAACTCTTCCACATCCTCCCCACTAACCTCCAACCCCAAGGACTTCCCCAATGCCACAATGGATTCCTCAACTGGCATAGGCTTCTCAGGGTTAGCCTCAAACCTTTCGAAATCCCTTTTGTCTACACATTCTGGCCACAGTCTTTTCCAGGCAGAGTTCAAGGTCCTCTTAGTCACTCCCTCCCAAGCCTTACCTGTAAGTTTTACACAACTGAGGATAGTGAAGTGATCCTTCCAAAACTCCTTTAGAGTCAATTGAGTTTCTGTGGTCACTTCAAAGCACCTTTCAAACATACCTTTGTGTACAGTTTCTTGAAGTTGGAAATGACCTGCTGGTCCATGGGCTGCAGGAGAGGAGTGGTATTAGGAGGCAAAAACTTGACCTTAATGAAACTCATGTCCCCACAAAGTCGCTCTGACAAGTCTGTAGGATGACCAGGGGCATTGTCTAATACCAGGAGGCACTTAAGGTCTAATTCCTTTTCAATTAGGTAATTTTTCACAGTGGGGGCAAATGCATGGTGTAACCAGTCATAGAAAAAGTCCCTAGTGACCCATGCCTTACTGCTTGCCCTCCACAGCACACACAAATTAGCCTTGAGGACATTCTTTTGCCTGAACGCTCTGGGAGTTTCAGAGTGATACACCAATAAAGGCTTCACTTTGCAATCACCACTAGCATTGGAACACATCAACAGAGTAAGCCTGTCTTTCATAGCTTATGTCCTGGGAGTGCCTTTTCCTCCTGAGTAATGTAGGTCCTGCTTGGTAATTTCTTCCAAAACAGGCCTGTTTCATCACAATTAAACACTTGTACAGGTTTCAATCCTTCAGCCTCTATGTACTCCTTGAATTCATGCACATATTTTTTCAGCCGCTTTGTGGTCTGAACTGGCAGCCTCACCATGCCTAATCACAATATGTATACCACTATGATTCTTAAATCTTTCAAACCAACCTTTGCTGGCCTTAAATTCACTCACATCACCACTAGTTGCAGGCAATTTTTTTACCAAATCGTCATGCAACTACCTAGCCTTTTCACACATGATTGTTTGAGAGATGCTATCTCCTGCTATCTGTTTTTCATTTATCCACACCAATAACAGTCTCTCAACATTTTCTAACACTTGCGGTCGCTGTTTCATAATCACAGTCGCACCTTTTGCAAGAGCAGCTTCCTTGATTGCCGTTTTCTTGCTCACTATAGTAGAGATGGTTGATTGGGGTTTACTAGACAACCTGACCAGCTCCGACACACGCACTCCACTTTCGTACTTTGCAATTATCTCTTTCTTCATTTCAACAGTCGTTAGCACTCTTGGTCTCGAAGGGTTGGCACTGGGAGCTTTCTTGGGGCCCATGGTGACTTATATTGCAAAAACAGGCACCAAAAACAGTGATAATATGGATAATATGGAATGTACTAAATGTATCCTTAGATGCGCACACACTGGCTGGCTTGTAAACACTGGCACACATGGGGCAGTTCAGGCCACACATGGACACGTATCGTACAAACCACATCGCATACCAGGTTTTGTAACGGGAAGCGAGGCAAATTTTCTGCGATATAATGCATCGGTTACCGTATTTATCGGATACCGATAGCATCGCGAACCGGGGGTCCACTGTAATTTCTCTTCTCCATTTATGCAACCTCTGTTGCCTGTCTGTCATTCACACCTCTATCCAGGAAAATATTTCTATTCCATGTACCTCTACTTTCCTGAACAATCTCAGGTGTGGAACTCTAGGAATTTACAGTCTCATAATTTTGCTGGGAGCGAAAACTAATCAGCTTTACACAGCTCTTTTGTTATTACTGTCTGGCTATTATTTTAAGAAATGCACTAATCTTCAGTAAATGCTGGTTGTGTTTTAAATTAAGCATCTGTAGTCATATTGTTTTTCTTTGCTTGACTTGATCAAATGCTGCATCTTTGGTCCACGTTTGTTTGGCGAAGTAGTAGCAGGTACGTATTTATTTAGTGTAATTTTATCAAGATCATTAAACACAATTGTGTTTAGTCATCAGGAAGCGTATTCTTCAGTAAACATGTCAAAGTGAGCTTCACAACTCAACAGTATGGCTACCAAAAGAAAGTCAAGTTTTATACTTTTTTTTTTTTTTTTTTTTTTTTTTTTTTTTTTTTTTTTTTTTTTTGGGAAAGGAGTGTTAACAGATTTTTGGACCACCACCTTATTTTTCCTACGTGTTGTTCACTCCACTTAAGATAATTAAACTTTAAGTACCGATTCTCGCGAACATGACCATCCCCTCCTTTCCCCTTTATTATCCCTTTTGCGATCGGTCCTCCCATAATATTACGGCTTTGCAGCCAGCTCCAGTCCCGTAATACTATGCCAAAATTCTAGTGGCTTCCAATCTTGCGGGAGAAAACTGGTAGAACTACATATTAGAGAATGGGTTCGTGTAGTCAGTGTGCACAGTATAAAAAAAAAATCTGCAGCACAATGTGCATAATGAGAGAAAATATGCAACCATATTTTTGGAATAAAACAGAAAATTTGAAGTGAATTTTCGTATAGCTTTCATGGTTGTATTCTCAGTTTCTTGATCTCATTTGATAAAATGGAAGATATATTACAGAAACAGAGATGATTCTTAACCCTTTCAGGGTCAGCAGGCCCTCTCCTAAACTTGTTCTCAGGGTCAGAAATTTAAAAAAAAAAAAAAAAAAAAAAAAAAAAAAACTTATGAAATGATAGAAAATCTTTTCCCGATCATAATGATACCAAAAGTATGAAATTTGATGGAATACTTATGGAATTATACTCTCACGAAGTTAGCGGTCTCGACGATGTTTACGCATTGGCGATTTTGCCCGCTTTGAGCCCTATTTTCACCCAATTCCAATGTATCAGCCAACAAAAATTATAAGTATTTCACTAGAACTCCATTTTTTCTATCGAATGAATACAAGAAACCACCCATTTACCAATTTCAACTATCCAAGAAAGTTGACAGAAATTAACAATTTTGCCAATTTCACATACATTTCAAAAGATGCCACTTTCTAAACAGGGTCCAGAATAAACAAGACAGACATTCCTGGCACTAAAACAACATTTTTTCTGTTTATTAGTCATGTCCCAAGGCCTCTCTTACATTTCTTTTCCTTTCCACTTTGAATTTTTCTCACAAAAAAATAGAAGATTTATTGTTATGCAGACTACTGCATTAGTGTAGAAATGGTACAAATAATATCAGCGCACTTGTGAAAGAATATTAGACTCACCAGTTGATGTGTATTGGATGCGTGACATGATTTGTTTACTTTTGAACTTTGGCAAAAAATTGAACATTTCTGCTTTCAGCTCAATTTAAAGGTACTTTTCATTGTGAAACCAATCAAAATCATCTCAATTTCTGTAATATGTTTTCCATTCTAATAAATGAGACCAGGAAAACTAGAATACAACCATAAATACCAAACTAGAGTACAGTGCAAAGTCACTGTTTTAAACCATAAACATGGGCAAAGTTTTTTTTTTTTCATTATGCACTGTGTGCTGCAGGATTTTTATATACTGTGCACACTGACCACATAGACCCATTCTTTCATATATAGGCCTACCAGCTTTCTCTCACTAGAAATTACGCGTACTAGTACGGCACCAACCCTGGCGTGCAAGCCATACTAGTATGGCACTAACCCTGAAAGGGGTAATGGTTTACAGAAAAAAAGTAACTTAAAATTGAGCTAAAATTAGAGGAAATGTTCAATTTTTGCCGATGTTCAAGAGTGAACAAATTATGTCGTGCCTCCAATACACGTCAACTGGCCGGTCTTATATGCATTCATGAATGCACTGACATCATTTATACAATTATTACCATTATCAAGTAACCTGAATAACAGTAAATCTTCTAATTCTTGTGTGAATAAAAATTAAAAATGAAAAGCAAGTGTAATATAAGTGGTGCCTGGAGACATGACTAATGAACAGAAAAAATATTTTAGTGCCAGGAATGTCTACATTATTTATATTGGACCCTATTTTGAAATTCGCCCTTTCTGAATTTGGTGTGAAATTGGCCAAATTAGTAATTTATGATCACTTTACTAGGTGGTAGTTGACATAGGTAAATGGGCAGTTGCTTGCATTCAATCGATAGAATAAAAAGAGTTCTATCTAAACAGCTATGAGTTTGGTCAAATCAAACAATAGAATTGGCCCAAAAAAGGAATCAAAGTGGGCGAAATCGCAGGTGCGTAAATATCGCCAACACTGCTAACATCGTGATAGCATAATTCAATGAGTTTTCCATAAAATTTTGTGCTTTTGGTTTCATTACCTTCAGAAAAAGACTTTTTTTTTTTTTTGAAAATTCATCGACCCTGGGAGCAAGTTCGCGAACAGGGGTCTTGACCCTCAAAAAGTTGAGGATTATACTACTCTGAATAAGTAGCTAACAAAAAAAGTGTATGCTTTTTATAAAATTATGCAAATTTTATATTAAGTGGCAATAAAAAGAAGCCATAATTTACCTGTAACCAGCGCCAGCAAGGTCTCGACTGATCATCTCAAAAATTCTAGATTTCTTAATGCCTTCCTGACGGTGGTGCATTAAAAAATCCAAAAGGAGATGTGCTGCTGTATGGCTCCAGTATGGAACCAACTGATCAGTGTCCACTGTCAATGGATCAGGAGTAAAACCAAGAGTAAACTCAGTTTCTTCCAAAAGCTGCATCTCTACTACAAAAGGAAATGGATTCTGAGACTGGAACCCTCGACGTAACAGTGCAATGTGATCCTCAATCTGCAATGATTCACTTGCCTTAATAACACACTTATTATATTTTATAGAAATACAAAGCAAAATTTAAATGAGTAAAAAGAAATGAGGATAGAAAGATGATGACTGAGGATTTTGAGTGATGATGAGAAATAACAAAAAAATGAGTGACAAGAAATGTCAGAACACATACTAATGTTCATACATTTTATATACAGTGGAACCTCAACTTACGAGTTTAATTCATTCCGTAACCAAGCTCGTAACTCAATTTGCTCGTACAGTGGACCCCCGCATACCGTTAGCCTTACATAACGTTAAATCCGCATACCGCTACATTTTATCGCTAAGATTTTGCCTCGCATACCGCTAAAAAACCCGCTCAACGCTGTTCGTCCGAGATGCGTCTAATGTGCGCCCTTAGCCAGCCTCACGTTCCGCCGGTGGCATTGTTTACCAGCCAGCCTCCGCGGTAACATCCAAGCATACAATCGGAACATTTCGTATTATTAGTGTTTTTGGTGATTTTAACTGCAAAATAAGTGACCATGGGCCCCAAGAAAGATTCTAGTGCCAACCCTACAGGAATAAGGGTGAGAATTACTATAGAGATGAAGAAAGAGATCATTGATAAGTATGAAAGTGGAGTGCGTGTCTCCGAGCTGGCCAGGTTGTATAGTAAACCCCAATCAACCATTGCTACTATTGTGGGCAACAAAAAGGCAATCAAGGAAGCTGTTCTTGCCAAAGGTTTAACTGTGTTTTCGAAACAGAGATCGCAAGTGATGGAAGATGTTGAGAGACTCTTATTGGTGTGGATAAATGAAAAACAGCTAGCAGGAGATGGCATCTCTCAAGTGATCATAAGTGAAAAGGCTAGGAAGTTGCATGAGGATTTAATTAAAAAAATGCCTGCAACTAGTGATGATGTGAGTGAATTTAAGGCCAGCAAGAGAGATTAAAGAAGCATAGTGGCATACATAGTGTGATAAGGCATGGTGAGGCTGCCAGTTTGGACCACAAAGCAGCTGAAAAATATGTGCAGGAATTCAAGGAGTACATAGACAGTGAAGGACTGAAACCTGAACAAGTGTTTAATTGTGATGAAACAGGCCTGTTTTGGAAGAAAATGCCAAGCAGGACCTACATTACTCAGGAGGAAAAGGCACTCCCAGGACATAAGCCTATGAAAGACAGGCTTACTCTGTTGATGTGTTCCAATGCTAGTGGTGATTGCAAAGTGAAGCCTTTATTAGTGTATCACTCAGAAACTCCCAGACCGTTCAGGCAAAAGAATATCCTCAAGGCTAATTTGTGTGTGCTGTGGAGGGCAAACAGTAAGGCATGGGTCACTAGGGACTTTTTCTATGACTGGTTACACCATGCATTTGCCCCCACTGTGAAAGATTACTTAACTGAAAAGAAATTAGAACTTAAGTGCCTCCTGGTGTTAGACAATGCCCCTGGTCATCCTACAGACGTGGCAGAGCGACTTTATGGGGACATGAAATTCATTAAGGTAAAGTTTTTGCCTCCTAATACCACTCCTCTCCTGCAGCCCATGGACCAGCAGGTTATTGCAAACTTCAAAAAACTGTACACAAAAGCTCTGTTTGAAAGGTGCTTTGTAGTGACCTCAGAAACTCAACTGACTCTAAGAGAGTTTTGGAGAGATCACTTTAATATCCTCAATTGTGTAAACCTTATAGGTAAGGCTTGGGAGGGAGTGACTAAGAGGACCTTGAACTCTGCTTGGAAGAAACTGTGGCCAGAATGTGTAGACAAAAGGGATTTTGAAGGGTTTGAGGCTAACCCTGAGAGGAGTATGCCAGTTGAGGAATCCATTATGGCATTGGGAAAGTCCTTGGGGTTGGAGGTTAGTGGGGATGATGTGGAAGAGTTGGTGGAGGAGGACATTGAAGAATTAACCACTGATGAGCTGCTAGATCAACTTCAACAGCAAGAGGCCAGACCTGAGGAAACTGGTTCGAAGGAGGGGAGAGAGAAATTGAAGAAATTGCCTACTACAAAGATTAAGATAATCTGTGCAATGTGGCAGAAAGTGCAAACCTTTATGGATGAAAATCACCCTCAGACAGCTATTGCAAGTTGTGCTGGTGACTATTACACTGACAATGTTGTGAAACACTTTAGGGAAGTCATAAAGGAACGAGAGGTACAGGCCACTATGGACAGATATGTTGTGCGACAAAACTCCAGTGACTCTGAAGCTGGTCCTAGTGGCATTAAAAGAAGAAGGGAAGTAACCCCAGAAAAGGACTTGACACCTCAAGTCTTAATGGAAAGGGATTCCCCTTCTAAACACTAAGACTATCTCCTCCTCCCATCCCATCAATCATCACCAGATCTTCAATAAAAGTAAATGTCATGTAATTGTGCATGCCTTTTTTAGTTTGTGTGTATTAAAATTAATATTTCATGTGGTAAAAATGTTTTTTTTCATACTCTGGGGTATCTTGCACGGATTAATTTGATATCCATTATTTCTTATGGGGAAAATTCATTCGCATAACGATAATTTCGCATAACAATGAGCTCTCATGCACAGATTAATATCGCTATGCGGGGGTCCATTCTATATACAATCAATTTTCCTCATTTAAATTACAGTGGACCCTCGTTTCTCATAAGCATCAAAAGTCGTAATTTTCGAAAACTAACTTTTTTTTTGTCAAAACATTGATTCGCGAATCGTTGTTTGACTCGCAAATAGTCATTCGTCCCAGACGCGTACACACGGCCCCGAGCGGCTCCACACTCCATTCCCAGCCAGCGTGCCATTGTTTATCAGTGAGTGAGGATGATCCCATGCATTCATACGAAACATTTCATAATATTCCATTCATTTTTAGTGCTTGCAACTGCTAAATAAGCCACCATGGCTCCAAGGAAAGTTCTTGGTGCCAGGCCTTTGGTAAAGAAGGTGAGAAACACAAGAGAATTCAAGAAAAACATCATTGAAAAGTATGAAATTGGAGTGTGTATAACAGAGCTTCAAGTTGTATAAGAAACCCCATACAACCATCGATTACATCGTCGCCATGAAAAAGGAAATCGAGGAAGCTGTTGTTGCAAAAGGGGTAGATATGCTCACAAAAATGAGATCGCAAGTGCTCGAAGATGTTGAGAAGTTATTGTTGGTGTGGATTTATTTATTTATTTATGTCTTTACAAATAGTACATTGAGATTTTGCATTTACAATAATGGGTTGCAATGCAAAGAGAGCCTCTATTATGCTTAGGCATTATGGGCCAACTTAACATTATCGGCTTACAGACTAGTTAACACTAAGAATAATGTCATAGTTGTACAGTAGAATATTAATTATGTCATAGTTGTACAGTAGATTATTAATTATAAGTGAATCTAATTTATATAAGACAAAAGATATATTCATATATTTAAAAAATGCTTTTTGTGAAAACAGTGATTCAAAAATGCTTTTTGTGAAAACAGTGATTCAAAAATGCTTTTGTGAAAACAGTGATTCAAAAATGCTTTTTGTGAAAACAATGATTCAATTATATTCCTGTCAACAATGGATAAAAGGTTCAAAGTAATTGTTGAAATTATGATGTGGGAATACATAAGTGAATATGTGTGTACTGAGCAGTATTTAGCATTTAGTCTAGGGTGATTAAGTGGCTTTTGAGAAGAGTCTTAAATTGATTTTCAGACTGGGTTACTTTAGTATCTTCTGGTAATGAATTCCAAATTTTGGGGCCCTTTATGTGCAGAGAGTTTTTACACAGTGTGATATGGACACAAGGTATGTCAAAAAGAGATCTGTGTCTTGTGTTATTGTCATGTGTCCTGCTAAGGTTGGTGAGAAGTTTAAGTGGAGGGTTTATATTTGCGTGTATTGTTCTGTGTATGTAGTAGGCACATGAATAAGTATGGATGTTCTTAATGGTGAGCAGATTCAGACTTTTGAAAATTGGTGGAGTATGCTGGCGGGAGTGGGAATTTGTTATCATTCTGACTGCTGCCTTTTGCTGGGTTATTAGAGGTCTTAGGGGATTGAATGTTGTTGATCCCCATGCACAAATTCCACAGGTGAGGTAAGGGTATATGAGTGAATGGTACAGTGCCAGGAGAGCTGACTGTGGAACGTGGTACCTTATCTTTGATACCTACAGTCTTATAAATTTTCTTGGTGATTTGTTGTGTGTCTGGAACTTAAGGCTACTGTCAAGGTGGATACCTAGGAATTTTCCCTCTTTAAGTCTTGTGACTGATGACCCGTTTAGCATTATGTTAATTGGATGATTTGCAGCTTTGTTTCCAAACTGAATGATATATGTTTTATCAGGATTCAGGTTAAGTTTATTAGTAATCATCCAGGCAGATATTTTCTGCAATTCGGCATTGACAGTGTTTGCTAGTATGACTGGGTTTGGGTGGGAGAAGACATATGTTGTGTCATCTGCAAATAATATGGGTTTGAGTAGCTGTGATGCATTCAATAGATCATTGATGTAGATGAGAAAGAGGAGTGGTCCAAGGACACTTCCTTGTGGGACTCCTACTGTGATTGGTTGGAAGAGTTTGCACCATTTGCATACACATATTGAGTTCTGTTACTAAGGTATGACTTTAGGTAGTTGAAGGAGTGGCCTCTGATACCATAGTGCGTTAATTTGCAGTACAGCAGTTCGTGGTTGATTGTATCAAAAGCTTTACTTAAATCAATGAAAATACCAAGCGGGACTTCTTTCTTTTAGAGTGCGGTATACATTAGTTCTAGAATGTGTATGATAGCATCATCTGTGCTTTTATTATTCCTGAATCCAAACTGACAAGGGTTTAATATGTTGTGTGAGACGAGGTAGGAATAGATCCGTTCATGAATTAATTTTTCAAAGATTTTAGAGAGCAGTGGTAAGTTAGATATTGGTCTATAGTTATTCAAGTCAGCTTGGTCACTTCCTTTATGAACTGGAGTGACCCTCACTATTTTGAGGATTGTTGGGAAGGTAGATGATTCAATGGATTTGTTAAA